CTCTATGGGACTCCTTTTACTTGAATCTGAGAAAGAAAATAATCCCAGGCACCAAATTCACCAAGAAGTGCCAATTCCACCAGTGTCTCCGCTTGTAAGGAATCGTGCACCTTCTCCTATAAAACCAACTCAGACCCACCAGGTGAATAGAGCTGTGTCGTGGCAGCTGGTATGGCTGCTGCAGGCTCACAGCAGGATGGGCCATGATCAGACTGTGGTTTGACAAAGGTCGCTCTGTCTGGAGCACAGAGTTGGGGTGGGGGAGGAGGGTGAGGCTGCTGAAGGGAGACCTTGTCTGCTTGTGGTCACGGCTGTGTTCCCCAGCACCAGGCCCTGGGCCTGGCTGAGCAGGCACTCACACACTCAGTGTGGATGGGATGAATGGGAATGGAGATGGGGATATGTGGGTCTGGGGTGCAGGTGCCAGGCTTGGCCTGTGGGCGGGTAAGTTTAGAACTCATTGTCCCTTCATGGGCATTGCAGCCACTGGGGTATATGAAGAGAGATGCATTCTCCAATGGGCAAGGTCTGGGCAGGGGGAGGTCCAGCCTGGGAAAGAGTGGCCAGGAGGGTAGAAAGGGAGCCAGGAGAGTAGGGTCCTGTAATGCATGAAGAGAAAGTGTTGGCAGGAGGGAGTGTGTTGTGGTCACTCTGCAGGAACAGGGTGGACCCTGTCTGTTTGAAATTCAACTGACTGTTGGCACCACCCCCAACACTCCCAAGAGGATATTGAAAATATCATCACTCCTAAGATGAGGCCCTCTGGGGTGAGCAGACAGCCTCCCAGGCTGTGAATGAGAGGGCAAGGAAAGGAGACTGGCAGAGGTCTTCTCAGCACCAGGGATGGGGCCAGGGCAAGGGCTCCCATGCGTGGCTTGAACTTTCCACTGGTGTTGAGGCTTTCTTATAGGTTTTCCCAGATGCAGGGCAGAAGGGAAAGAAGGAGAGCAAGGCTCAGGAAGTTGCTAGCAGTTACACATCAAACTATGGAGCCTGGCTCTACTACACAGGCGTCAATTGCAAATGAGGGCTGCTGGCAGGAGGCAGTGGGACTGTGCAGGTCCCTGCAATGGAGAGACTGTGGCATGCAGTGAAGGCAGGGGCCACAGTGGAGGGGCTGTGGAGTCCAAAGACACGGTGGCTTCAGAGATGTGGAGTGGACAAGAGAGGAAGGACAGGGAGGGAAGACAAAGAGGGGACTGCAGGGCTTGCACAGAGATGCTGGTGGAGAGGTAAAGAAGAAGCAGGGCTGTCAGGTGAAGAGAAGTTTCCAAGGATTGTGATGAGGCTCCTTGCTGAACAGCTGCCAGGAGGCAGGTGAGGCAGGACAGTGCTGCGTTTTGAAGAGCACCAAGGCTTGGTGGGGGGGCTCTGCCTGTGCACAGTCTGCCCTGTGCTTCCTCCTTTGCGCTTCAGCCTCAGAGTCAGATTCCTTGAAATGAGTCATTCAGCCATTTGATAATAGCACCATTGTGAAGAGGTGGCTGTGACTTAATCAATGTGGAGGGCATGTGGTGAGGGTTAGATAAAGAAGTGCTGGCAAGGATGATATAATCTCTTCTGATTGTGACTGTCCACCCCACCTTTGTTGAGCAGCAAAGAAAGATGCTGGGCCTGGAGATGAGACCCAGGCGTCAGCCCTCAAGGAGCTCACTGTCTGAGCCAAGGATGAGGGATCTAGGGGGATTAGAGGGGAGATACCACATTTGGGATAATAGTGACAGGTGGCAGGGAACTGAGGGCCCATACAGTGGGTGTGGCTTGTCAGTGGGACAGGAGGGACTGCCTAGAGGTTTGCTGACTGTGATTGGTGGCTCGTGAATTATTAATTCATCAACCACTGTGCAGAGGCTGCTTGCCAGGAGAGTGCCCTGTGACCCAGGGCTTTAAAAATTCATGTGTTCATTGAGTCATTCCCTCGAATCACATTCACAGGCCCCTCTTGCTTGCTGAGCCCACACTCTTCACACCACAGAAGGCCCAGGGGAGAAGGAGGAGTTCCCACAGTGCTGTTTAACCAGCAAGCCCAGAGGCAAACCCAGCATGTGGACAGGATGGGAGGGTCAGTGGGCCCAGGACCAGAGGGAAGGGCCATATGATTTGGAGTGTATATGTGTGCACACGCATGTTTTTATTTTTTTCTGTGTGTGTGTGTGTGTGTGTGCGCGCGCGCGCGTACGCGCACAGGGATACATGTTGTATTTGTTTGTGTGCATATGTAGTGTGAATGGATGTGTGGTAGAGGTGGGGTGAGAAGCCCTTTTAGGGAGCATGGACTTGAACCTGCCAAGTTTAACAGCAGTTTGCTTGTCCCAGGACACTGGTGGAACACAGGACCTGGCCTTGACCATGAGGCTGAATGGAGACAGGTGTTCTGGGCACTTCCTGGTTTTCAGCCTCAGGCTGTGAAGAGGGTGGGATTGCTCAAAGCCTGAGAAGAGACAGATGTGACAGAATGCCCAAGGCAGTACAGATGTCAACAACACAGGGGGCTGGGAGCCCTAGAGACACTCAATTCACTCATACATGTGCCCTTCTATGCACATTCACCCCAGAGCAAGTTGGGGAGAAGCATGTGGGGCAGAAATCCTTTCACCAGGCAAAGACACTAAGATGGGAGACCAACTCCTTTGGGGAAGCTGCCTGAGACCCTTGTCATGTATTTCAGCCAGTTTTGCATCACTATGACCATAAGGCCTGACAACATAGAAAAGGAAAAGTTTATTTTGGCTCATGGCTCCAGAGATTCAGTCCATGGTTACCTGACTCCATAGCTCTGGGCTCAAGATGAGGCAGAACATCATGGCAGAAGGGTGTGGTGGAGAGAATCAGCTCAGGCATGGCAACCAGGTAGCAGAGAGCTTCGCTCATCAGGGACAAAGTATTAACCCCAAAGGTCCACCCCTCATGACCTACTTCCACCAGTCACCTCCTACATGCTTACAATTACCACCCAATTAAACCCACTGAAGGAATCAGTGGGTTAATCCACTGATTAGGTTACACCTCTCATGATTTAATCATTTCATCTTTACAAATTCTTGCATTGTTTCACACATGAGCTTGAGGGGAACTTTTCATGTCTAAATCATAACATCATGAGAGAAAAAAATGGTGAGACCTAAGGCTGGCCAGTCAACAGGGTGACTGTGCAAGGACTGGCATGTCAGACTTTCCCCTGAAGTGAAGGATCCCTGGACTGTGCTAGGAAGGGCCAGGGCCCTTCCAGCCTCAAATTTTAGGAAGCTTACTCTGGCAACTGGTGTCATGGGCTGAATGGCAGTCCCCCCAAATATGTCCATGTCCTAATGGACATGTGAATGTGACTTTATTTGGCAAAGAGTCATTAAGGATGTAGTGAAGATAGGAATCTTTTTTTTCCCCCAGTGGATTTTTGATCTTTAATTTTAAATGTGCCTGAGCTACAGTTTCAGGAATGTGAAAAAAATGAGAATAGGAATCATTCAGGGAGCCAGGAATGGTGGCACACACCTGTAATTCCAGCTATTTGGAAGGCTGAGGCAAACTGGAAGTTCAAGGACACCCTGGGCAACTTAGTGAGACCCTGTCTCAAATAAAAAAATAAAAAGACTGGAATGAATCTGGCATTATTGACCAATGAAGACAGGGATCTTGAGAGGGGGTCATCCTGGCTAGATCCCATGACAGTTGTCCATATAAGACACAGATGAGAAGACAGAATCACAAAGAGGGGAGAAGGCCAGGTGAAGATGGAGGTGGAGATTAGAGTGATGCTGCCACAAGTCCAGGAACAACTCAGGCTACAAGAAGCTGGAAGAACAAGGAGGAATCCTCTCTTAAAGCCTCTGGAGCAAGCACATCCCTGCTGACCTCGATTTCAGACTTCTAGCCACCAGAATTTTGCTGTTTTTAGCCACCTGGTCATTTGTTACAGCTGCCCCAGGACACTTAGCCAGTGATATCGAGAAAAGATATAGTGGTGCCAAGGAAGGAGATTGAGGTTGGACAAGTTGGATAGGTAGGAGGTGGAGATTTCTACAGCATCATGAGATAGAATCACCTAGGCAGAAGGGCCTAGGGATCAGCAGCTTTTTCTTCTCTGCATTCTCAGTGGTCTCCAATTATTGTAATTTTCTGAATGTGTCAGAATGACCCAAGTGACTGTCTCTAGCTTGGGCGTTCCTTTGGTGCTCTCTGTCCCTAACACCTGATGCACAGTTTCTTGCTTGTGGAAGACACGATTGAAATATAGGATGGTAAATATGTGAGTTTGATAGTCAACATCCTTTCAATATTTATTAAGCTACTGTGTGCCAGGCTTGAAAAGTGAGCAAAAACTACATTCCTAACAGATGCGTTAGATCCAGACAAATGCTTCCTTTAGAAAAGGTCCTCCTCACATTTTGCGACAGTCTTTCCATCAGGTCTCATCTGCATGTTTGAACACTCTTGCAAATCTGGATTTGGGTTTTACAAACACTAACATCTCCCATTAGTGGCAGCTGCCTATTCAGACACTGATGCCTCAAAAGGCACGCTCATAAACGCCCTTAGCCGTGTTTGGCAGATGCTACAGCTCTCCCTGTCCTAAGCCATGCTGGGCCACTAGCCAGGGCGATGCCTTAGTCGGAATGCGGGGACTGGCCGCTAGGGTGTGTGGAGGTGCCCTCCTGCCCCAACCCTCATTCCATGACCTCGCTGAGTCCTCGCTGAGTAGCACGGTCGGTTGCCACTCCCTGGGACAGAACTTGTCTCCCACAGGCAAAGCATGACTTTCCCAGGGGCGTGACTTGGACGCCTAAATCCGGCAAGTGGAGTGTGGAGGGGGTGTGTCTCCAGGGGGCGGGGCGTGCGCCTCCCCCGACTGGTTGTACGGTGTCCGGAGGTGAGCAGGCGCGCAAGGAGGCCTCCAGGAGGTGTCGACCTCTGCGCCTGCGCCTGCGCTTGCGCACTTATCTGAATCGCCTTCCTTTGCGCAGCCGCGCTCACCTGAGGAGGCGTGTCGGGGCGGGGCCTACGAGGCGGGGCGGCCGCGCCCGCCGCGAGGACCCCCCCGGAGCCGGCCTCGGCGCGCCGGGGGCGCTTCTCCTTCCTCTGGGGGGTCGTGGGCGGGGCCTCATGGAAACCGTTCGCCCCGAGAGCTTCGAAGGAGGGGCAGTGGCGTCTGGGGCCCAGGGGCGGCCGGCGCCGGAGGCAAGGGTGCACTTCCGAGTAACGAGGTTCATCATGGAGGCAGGTAACCGCCGCCAGGGAAAGGGCAGTTCCTGCATGGACGGGGCATGGAAACCGGGGTTCGCGGAGCTGTACAATCACAGCGCCCAGCCTGCAGGCCGTTGCTTTGCAGAGAAAGCGCGGCTGGGCCAAGGGAAGAGGCCAGGCCTTGCCAGCGTGACCCGCCTTAGCGGACGCTGGGAGGTCTGCTCAGGACTGAGGGCCTCTGCCTTTCCGGTCTGCCATGTGTACCAGGCATTGAGATGCGAGGGAGGCGCTGGTATCCCCCTTGCACAGAAGAGCGCGCAGGCCCAAAGAGCGGATGTGGTTAGGGACTGGACTAGGCGGGGCCCGAGTCTGAGAGCCCACTACTCTGTAGTGTCCGGCACGCCTTCTGCCACGCCTTCCGCCACGCCTATCCCTGCATGCTAGAAGATTGGCACTTGGTCTCTAGGAGCCTTTTGCAGCATGCTTTTGGGCATCCACGATGCAGCTAGAGTTCTGAGTCTTGGCTAAATCTACCATAGTGCTGGGCAGCCAGCTTCCAGAGTGATGCAACTAAGCCACAGGGATTTCTATAGAAACACTTTTTCTCTTTCAGTAGTATCTTGTTAAGCTGGCTAACAATTATTTCCTTGACACTATGTGTACTTCTTGGAGCACAGGCTTGGGCACGTGTGCTTTCAAGTCAATGTGGTTCAGAGGGTCTGAGGAAATGGCCTCAGACCTGCTAATCCCAGTGATTTGTAAATTTACAAGAGTTGTAGAGTTTATTAAGGAAAGATGTGTTGCCCCCCTCCATCTGGCTACCTTCCATCTGCTCAGACGGTCAGGCTAGTAACACTACCTTATCTCGCATTTTCTGGAATGAGATCCCATGTAGGAATTATCTGATTTTTAGACCTTAACATACTCTTTAGGTGTTTTCGAAGGGCTGCTTTATAAGCATCGTATATACCATTGCCCTTTGTAGAAGCTACATACTGGTTCCCTGAAGATGTCCCTGTCCTAATCTCTGGGACATGTGAATGTCATATAGCAAAAGGGACTTTGCAGATGCAGTTAAGGACCTTAAGATGGGGAGATTATATCCTAGATTATTGGGGGTGGACCTATTTTCACCACATCTGTCCATACAAAAGAGAAGCAGTGGGGGTCACAGAGGAGAAGGCCATATAGCAACCAAAGCAGTGTTAGAAGATGCTGTGTCACTAGCTTTAAATATGGAGGAAGGGGCCAGGAGCCAAGGAATGTGGGAGGCCCCTAAAGCTAGAAAAGGCAAGGAAACAGATTCTTTCCTGTATCTTCTAGAAGGAACCAACCCTGATGACACCTTGACTTGCCCCCTAAGTCTCATTTTTAACTCTGATCTCCAGGATAGGGAGAGCATAAGTGTATGTTTTCTCAGCCACTGAAATTAGTGGTTATTTGTTACAGTATCCTTAGACAATATCTGCCTTCTTAGATAGAGAATGCTGAGAGCAGTCTGATTATTTACTGGTTGCTCTCCACATCATCTATTAACTTTCTCTTGTTAATCTAGTCATTGCAAATTGGTTTTGGTTTTGGGACCCAGCACATTAATTCCCTTTGGAACTGTTTAGAGGGTGAGAGGGGAGAGGCTAAGCCCTGACCCCTCCACTCCACTCCACTCCATCTGTGATTTTTTTTTAATATTTATTTTTTAGGTGTAGATGGACACAACACAATGCCTTTATTTTTATGTGGTGCTGAGGATCGAACCCGGGTCCCACCTGTGCTAGGCGAGTGCTCTACCGCTAAGCCACAATCCCAGCCCCTTCATCTGTGATTTTTGAGTTCTGCTCACTTCTCAATGAGTTGGACTCCTTCTCTGGTGCATGTCCATGGCCATAAATGTTGCTTTTTCTCTTCTCTGCCTGTGGTTGCTCTGATCAGCTTGCTTTTCTGACCATATCTGTGGACTAGGAAACCAGTGGTGAGAGTAATGTTTAACTATAACACTGGAATGTCTAGCATTTTTTGATGCCCCCACCCCCCCAGGGCTTTTACCTCCTGTCTTCCTAACAGGATTTTTGTTAGGTGGGTTGTGGGGTGAGTAACCTCCAGCTCAGTGCCTGCTTGGGTGAAAACAGATACACAACAGTCCTTGGTCCTTTCCAAGCTTCTGTGCAGAAGCCCATATGCCAGTTGGTAACTGAGTAATAGTCAGAACCTTTGCTTATTGGGTTGGTCCTACCCACACTATTGGTTTGCAGACCATAGTGTGGGTAGGACCTGGGGCCTTGTCAGAAGTGCACAGTCTCAGAGCCCCAGTCTTCCTGAAGGGCATCTGCATTGCAGTCTCATCCCCAGCATCTTTGCTAACCTTCTGGAGTCTGAGAATTCTGGGTACCCAGCAAGAGACTGAGCAGCAAGGAGTGGCAAGGCTAATTGTTCTTGGTCTTCTCTGCTTAGGGTGTGCACCCTTAGGGCCTATTCCAGCAGCTCCCTCACTTGAGCAGTGTGTGAATGAGCATTGGACTGAAGGATTCTCCTGCCTGCTTTCTCTCTGTAGGTGTCAAGCTAGGGATGCAGTCCATTCCCATTGCCACTGCTTGTACCATATACCATAAGTTCTTCTGCGAGATCAACCTGGATGCCTATGACCCTTATCTGGTTGCCATGTCTTCCATTTATTTGGCTGGCAAAGTAGAGGAGCAACACCTGCGTACTCGGGACATCATCAACGTGTCCAACAGGTACTGGTGTCCTGGTTGAGGTGTTTGGGAGGGCTTCCTGCTGTTCACCTGGCAGGGGCAGAAAATGCTTTCTTGGGCCTGCTGCCCAGGTACCAGCTTTCAGGCTCAGAAGGAAGCAATTGAATGGCTTGACCCAGTGTCCGAAGCACTAGCTGCAAACGCAGGAAGGAACCTGGGGTCAGGAGCCCAGGGGCCTCTGGGAGGGAAGCTTGGCCACATTATGGGGAGCCTCAAAAGCTAACCAGGGTGGAGGTAGGTTGAGCAGAAGGAGCTTGGAGAAGAATGTCAGAGAAGAGTTATCTGTTGTCCTGGATAGGACAGAGGGAGATGGCTGAGGGCAGAAGAGCATGGAAGAGAACCTTCTTGGTTGGATTGTGGGGCCCAGCAGGCCTGAGTGGCCTGGAGGGGGGGATTATGGACCCAGCAGGGCAGTCATCATATTTAGGATATTTAGGTGGTGTAAGAACCTGAGTCCCAGGTGCCCAGGGGTCAAGGGGGAGGTGGGTTGCACAGCTGGGCCAAGCAGTTGTATTGCTGCTGGGAAGGACACGGGGGCCTATCCATTTAGGCTGCACCAAGGCCCCAGGGGGCTGGGTGGCCAGGAGACAGACATGAAATTTATGGAAAGTTACTGACTAGCTGTGCGTCATGGGCCTTTCCAGGAACTGTAATTAATTAGGAAGAAAACTATTTTGTTCTTTTTTTAATAAACAGGTAACGGAAAAAGCACTCCCTACCCCCTAAGCCTGACAGGTTCACGCTGTACAGGGAGAGACTAAGATAAAAACAGGCACGGAGTGAGAGAGTGCGGCTGGAGTCCACCCATAATTGCATGGCCCCCAGCAGGGAGGAGCAGTAGAAGGGGAAATTGTGTGGAGCCCTAATTAGATGTGGGCACAGGGGGCCCAGGGTTCTGCAGGGATCATGGAAAACGAGTGAGCAGTGAGGAAGGATGAGTCACTGGCAGAGAGTTCTGAGCATTTGAGTGTGAACTCTGTTCACGTACATCTTGGGGATCTTGCGTAGGTAGAAGCGTTGTGGACATACAGGGTGTAAATAAGGACAGAAAGATCTGGAAGAAAGGAAAAATAATCCAAGAAATATAAAAGTGAAATATGTTGCCTTTCAGAATACATGTTTCCTAGGCTGTTTATGTGCATTCCTTGGGCTCTAAGAGCAAGCCTTGGGTGCTGTACCTTAGGTGAGGAAGAGTCTCCCCAACGCTATACTACCCAAGACTAGGCATGCTAAAGCTTCTGCTTCCTTTGGAGTCATTGCACAAACCCAGTCTTAGCTCTTGATAATCTTGCTGAATGATGGTGGATGGCCCATTGGACTAAAACTCGGAGCCAGCTTCTTTCCTCAATGCCTCCAGTTGCCATTGTGTACACTAGATGTGTAGATAAAGAGTCATTTTATAAAAACAGAAATAAAGTGACCCCATGTTAATATACTGGAAGAAACTGTAGGTTATGCTTGGACATCATATGACTTCAGTGCTTGGAACACTGGAAGCTGCCCCATTGCTTGGGAAACATGTCTCTTGCCACTGTAAGCATTGCAATTCCTCCACACAGGTACTTTAACCCAAGCAGTGAGCCCTTGGAGCTGGACTCCCGCTTCTGGGAGCTCCGAGACAGTATTGTGCAGTGTGAGCTCCTCATGCTGAGAGTTTTGCGCTTCCAGGTCTCCTTCCAGCATCCACACAAGGTACGTGCATGCTGGGGAAACTGACAACTATTTCTAGAGACTGTGAGGACTTTGTTCCATTGCCTGAAAGCATGTTTCTTCTAATGTCTGAGGGTATAGCAAGCAAAGAGCAGAAGGGAACCAGAGCTTCTGATTCCACACGCAGCAGTGGCTCAGCCAGCCTCCCTTACCCCAATCCTGGAATCTTCTGGGGCAGGTCTTATCTCAGCTGCCCCCTTTGTGCTTGCTCATCTGTGCCCACAGGCTGGGACTTGTGTGGCTCTCGGAAACCATGTTTCACGGAAACCACTACCCATCTAGATGGAGTGCTCACTGAGCCTCTGAGAAGGGCTGGTTTTATAACCTGCCAAAGTCCCTTTTCCTGTGAGTTACTATAGCATCCAGCTCAGCTGTGCTTAGAAATCCATGAGGAAAGCCAAGTTGCTGAGTCCTAGTGGTACCCTTTTAACTTCTAGGGGCAACAGAAGTCTAACAGAAGACCATTACAAACAGCAGCACAGGGGAAGGCCCACTCTTAGGAGCACTTGGATGTGCCATTGTGGTACGTCAGCTCTCTGCGCAGGCTGCTGGAAGGATAGCCTGCAGAGAGTGGGGCTTAGGGCTCTATACTAAGACTTCTCTTCATTTTTAAATGGGATTTTTATTGATGTAATTATAAATTCCCATGCAGTTGTATGGAATAATCTAGAACAATCCCATGTGATCTTTGCCTAGCCACTCCAGTGGGACCCCTTCAGTGTCACAGCCAGGATGTTGATACTGATACAGTCTACTGGTTTTATGAATATTTAGTTCTGTATTATTTTATCACATGACCATTACAGTCCAAAACAACTCCATCCATACAAGGATCCTTTGGTGCCCTTTTAAAATTTCATGCTACCCTTTCATTCCCCTCCCTTGCCCTGGAAACCTATGGTCTTGGATTTTTACACAGTAGTTTTTTGTCATCAGAATACCTGATCAGCATCCCAGGGGAGGGTGAGAACTGTGCTGGCAGCTGTGGGGTGGGGTTGTCAAGGTGACAAGACTTGGGAACAGTGTTCTGGCCTGTGGCCCCTTCCTCTTCCTCTAGGCAGATGAGAATCTCAGTAATATAGGTCACCCCTCCAGGATGTGTCTGGGTCATATGTGTGCTCAAGCTGCCTAAGTGCTTGCCATGATCTTTATGCATTGCATGGGGTTTAGGCTGACCTCCCAACTGGGAGGTCATGGGGACATGGGAGTTGAGGCCAACACTACTTTATGGTCTTGACACAAACTGGAGAAATGCAGTCTCTAGTCTCTAATCCTCCTGAAAGCGGCAGCCTCCTGAGAGGCTGGGCATATAAAGTGCAGACTAGTCCTCTAGTCTGCAAGTAAAGGCACTGCTTGCTGGAGCACTGGGCCCCAGATGATTTCTCATGGTGGATCGAGCAGGGTCCTGGGATCTAGGGTGTTGCTGTGGGGATGGCATTCAAGAATGGCCTGAATAAGTTCCCCCAGAGCTATGTCTGGAGAAAGAGAGTGGCCAGGCATGTGGAGACAGGGGTGGGGGTGAGATGGTTCTAGAGCATGCCCAGTATATTCCAGCATGGTGGGAGGGTGGACTGGGAGATGAGGTCAGAGAGGGAAACAGTGCTTGGTGACCAGCAGAAGGCTTTGGGGCTTTTCCTAAATGACATGATGTCATTGGAAAGTTTAAGCAGTGAGGTGGAATGATTTGGAATGATTATGACTGCTTATGGAGAGAGGGTGAAGGGACCACAGTACAGCGATGAAGAGTTGGGTTATGGGGGGGCCGAAGCCCTAAAGGCAGACTGGCTGATGTCTGTGTCTTTACAGTACTTGCTCCACTACCTGATTTCCCTCAAGAACTGGCTGAATCGTTACAGCTGGCAACGGACCCCCATCTCTGTCACGGCCTGGGCCCTGCTGCGTGACAGCTACCACGGGGGACTGTGTCTGCGGTTTCGGGCTCAGCACCTAGCTGTGGCAGTGCTCTACCTGGCTCTGCAGGTCTATGGAGTCGAGGTACCTGCTGAGTCTGAGGCTGAGAAGCCATGGTGGCAGGTGAGGTAGCCACTCAGTGTGTTGAATTGTGCCCCCTTTTCAGAAGTCCTTCTAACTGGGCATTCACCCATTTTCTTTCTGTTAATTGTCCTTGATGAAAGACATGGGCCACTTGGAATTTTTTTTTTTTTTTTTTTTTTGATACTGGGGATTGAACTCAGGGGCACTCGACCCCTGAGCCACATCCCCAGTCCTATTTTGTAGTCTCACTGAATTGCTTAGTGCCTCGTTGTTGCTGAGGCTGGCTTTGAACCCACGATCCTCCTGCCTCAGCCTCCCGAGCTGCTGGGATTACAGGCATGTGCTGCTGCGCCCAGCCACTTGGTAATATTGAAGCTTAAAAATACTCTGTTATAATCATCTTCCCTTTGGCACTCTTGCCATTTGGTGATAGATCATTTGAATGAACATGGCCTTAGTTGCAGTCTTGGGCCAAACACACCCTTAAGATCATGTTGGGGTAAGAGCACCTGTGTGGACAGAAGTACTGCTTCACGTGTGGTCTTCTCAGGGAGTTTCACGTAACAGGGATATAGTGGCCTTGCTCCGTTGGAATCAGATGGCAGCAGATGGGGCTACCACTTCCTGGGCCTGCTCTCTGAGGACATCTGGATCTGCAGTGCCCTCCCTTGCTTCCCATTGTGCTGGCCCGCCTCCATTTTGCTTTCTTTCTACTCTGTCTTCACTAGTTATAAACTTCACTTGATGTACCAGCACCACCTCCATATCTCATGCTCAGCCCTGCCAAGAGGAGTACCGGCTGCCCTGGCCCCGCACAGCCAGGAAGTAGCCCTATCACAAGGCTGTTTTCTGGGCATTGCACTCACCCAGTAATTGCTCAGCCTGGAAAGAAGTTGCCATTTTTGGGATGGCAGACACATGTTCACCCAGCTCTTCTTAAAAGTCTGTCACACTTGACTTCACCTTTTCTGGATGGCTCAGAGCTGCATACACCAGGAGCTTCCAGAATCCACACCACTTTGGGCTGGTGAAGTGTGAGTTGCCTTGGGATGAGCTGCTCCCGGTGAGGCCCCGGCTGCATGGGTGCATGGAAGCTCACATCTGATATTCGAAACACTTTTCCTCCTCATGTGCTCTTAGCTGCTACTTTTTTCCATGATTGCTTCTGTTACTTGTTGGCCATGGGTTCAGCACAAGAGCCTTACCTATGGGAAGCCAGCCTGTACTGTGTGTGCCAAGGCTATGTGCCAATAAGATGAGTGGGGATGGCAGTAGGCTCAGAAATGCCTCAGGCTATCACACAATGTTGCTGAAAGTTCCATAGCCAGAGCCACACCCAGGCCATCCATGCTTAGGAAGTTGATGTCTCCCACAGGTGGAGTCAAGCCACTAGGTCTTCTTGGTTCCAGAGGCCAATAGTGTCTCACCACTGGACTTGGAGATGTGATCAGATGCTCTAGGGTTTGTCACCTACCCTTGACTGTTTTCTTAATTTGTGGTGACAAACACATAAGATAAAATGTACTATCTTCACTTTTTTTTTTTGAGGGGGTGGTGTACTAGGGATTGAACCCAGGGGCATGCTGCCACTGAACTATATTCCCAGTCCTTTTTATTTTATTTTTTTGAGACAGGGTCTGTCTGAGTTGCTGAGGCCATCCTGGAACTTGCCATCCTCCTGCCTCAGCCTCCTGATTCTCTGTGATTACAGGCATGCTCCACCATGCCCAGCCCTTTGTCATTTTTAAATGCAGTTCAGTGATATTAATCACATTAACATAGCTGTGAAACTGTCACCACTAACCACCTCCAGAACTCTTTGATGCAAAAGGGAAAACCTGTCGCCGTTAAACAGTAACTCCTTGTTCCTTCTCTCCAGCCCCTGGCACACATCATTCTACTGTCTTTAGATTTGACTGCTCTACGGATCTTCTATGTATGGAATTGTACAATATTTGTATTGTTGTGACTGGCTCATTTCACTGAGTATCATCAGGTCCTCAAAGATCATCCATGTTGAAGTATGTGTCAGGTTGGATAATATTCCATTGTAGGGATGGACCACATTGTATTTATCCATTCATCTACTGATGCATACTTGAGTGCCGCAGTCTGGCTGGGCACAATCAGGAGCCACTTGTCAAAAGAAACTAACTTTATTTTTAGAACCACACACGACAAACAAAATAGTCTCTCAGGAAAAACCCTCAGAGCCTCAACTGCCACCACCAGCTTTCCCCAAGCCTCTCTCTCCCACACAAGCTTCTCTCCACCTCCCACAATCCTCCTGCTCTTGAGGCCGATTGGCTGGGTCACGTGGGCGGAGCCAAAAAAGTCCCCCAATGAGCAGCTCCGTGGTCTGAAAGGGCAGGGAAACAGCCCAATGAGCATCACCGCAGAGGAGCCAATCAGCTAGATGTTGCTGTGGCCGAGGAGCCAATCAGCTAGATGTTGCTGGGGCTGCTGTGAGCCAATCGTCAGCCGGCAGCTGGAAGTTTGCTGGCAGCTGGAAGTTTGCTGGGGCCCCTTCGGCTGTGGCTCTCAGCATCTCCCCCTCTCTGTTTAAACAACAAGCATGTGGCTTAGGGACCGTGCCTGTTAGGCAGTCCAATTCAACATATGGTCCTTACCCGTCATCGGATGAACTGACCTCTAGGCGTCAGCCTCCTGTCTTAGGTTGGTACCACTGCAATTGGATCATACCCGTCACTGACTACCGGTCCAGCATACAGCCATACTTGTGGATAGGCCTTTGCACCTGTGGGGGGGTGAGGTTCTTTGCCTCACCTCTGTTGGCCCCCAAATTTTAGACCATCACTAGTAGAGGAGGATGCAAAATGCCATGACATTAAGCCAATTGAGGGCTCCTTTGAAAAATTGTACCACCGGTGACATCATCAGCAAAAATACTCCAGCACTACCACAATTCGCTGTACCAACAGATAGTTCACAATGCATACAGGTGAGCTCACAATGTGTCCAGGCAAGTTCTGCAAGCAGTTCAGTGATGGCTATTGTAGAAGCTGTAGATTGGTTTTATCTTTCACTTCACCAGCACTGGGATGAAGATAGGAATTCTGGCAATAATGGCTAAAGAAAAAATTATGTAACATTACAGAAGGCACTAAAAGAAAACAATTTTCTTAACAATTTACATTGTCTTCACCGGCACTGGGATGAAGATAGGAATTCTGGCAATAATGGCTAAAGAAAAAATTATGTAACATTACAGAAGGCACTAAAAGAAAACAATTTTCTTAACAATTTACATTATCTTTAAGAGAATTATTAAATATAATGAAAAGGAAAGGTGAAAGTAAACAGATCTGTTAACCTTCTTTTTTGTTTACATATTAAAACAATCCTCAACAGTTGTTTACCCAATTTAAATTAAACCATATAAATCATGTGAAAAAAAAATATTTGGATCCATTTTATCATGAGCGCTCATCATATATGATATATGGACATACGTACATTCAAACATATAACACAAAACACAAGTGTGCACACATAATATAATACATACAACACATAACATTATAGTAAAGGCCTTATAACTTTTTACAGGTGAAATCTCCATTGCAATGCTTAAAAACTCTATAGTCAAAAAATAGAACTGATCAGCAAAACATTAACCTAGGTCTGTATGAGCTCAAAAAACAAAATAGAACTTCATGATATGGCAAAGGGCAATAATAAAATAGATATTGAAAAAAGCATCCTGGTTCTGTTGCAGATGTAAGAATAGCCAAACTGGAGTTTTGGATATCAGTTGTTATGGATTTGAGCCAAATCATCTTCTTTTTGGTCTGTAGAAATCGCTTTAGTTAATCTTTCTGGAATCCAAATCGGCTGCTGTTCTCCCTGTGGAAACACATAAACAGACCCCCGACTCCAGACAATCACTGGGTCAGGACCTTGGTTAATCTCTCTGGAATCCAAATCGGCTGCTGTTCTCCCTGTGGAAACACACAAACAGACCCCCGACTCCAGACAATTACTGGGTCAGGACCTTTCCATTGTCCTGTTAGAATATCCTTCCAAAGTACCTTGGGCTTATGTACATTTTTTGGACACATATGCCTTTCTGCAGCACTAAGTCCTGATGAATCCAAATTTAAAAAGTTTAGAGTAAAAAGGGTTATTTTAAGTTTATCTTTGGGGAATATATACCCCTTCCCAATTCCTTCTTTTTGCTTTAATAAGTACATTTTAATAGTTTGATGAGCTCTTTCAACTATGCCTTGTCCCTGTGGATTGTATGGGATTCCTGTTATATGAGTAATGCCAAATGTTGAGCAAAATTGTTTAAAAGAGGTAGAAGTATAACCAGGGGCATTATCTGTTTTTAACTGTTTTGGAACACCCACAGTGGCAAAATTTTGTAAGCAATGAGCTATAACATCTTTAGTTTTTTCTCCGGCATGAAGGGAGCCCATCAAAAATCCAGAAGAAGTATCAACTGTAACATGCAAGTATTTTAATTTTCCAAATTCTGGCAAGTGTGTGACGTCCATCTGCCAAATATGGTTAGGTATCAATCCTCTAGGATTGACTCCAAGATTAACTTGTGGTAAAAAGGTCACACAATTTTGACATTGTTTTATTATTTGTCTAGCTTGTTCCTTAGTTATTTTAAAACGCTTTTGTAAAGTATTAGCATTGATATGGAACTTTTTATGAAAATTTATAGCTTCTTCTAGTGTAAATATGTATGTCATGTGTAGTTTTATCTGCTAAATCATTGCCCAAACTAAGGGCTCCAGGCAATCCTGTATGTGCCCTGATATGTCCTATAAAGAATGGATCTTTTCTGTCCCAGATTAGACTTTGTATAGTGGAAAGCAAAGAGAAAACAGTAGAAGAAGGGGAAATCCTACCAGCATCTTCAAGAGATACTATAGCATTAACTACATACTGACTATCAGAAAATCAATTAAATACAGAATCTTTAAACATCACAAAAGCTTGTAAAACTGCATTAAGCTCTACCTTTTGAGCTGATTGTTTGGGTACTAAAAATGTAAAAGTTTGATCAGGGGTAACTACTGCTGCTGTACCATTATTTGACCCATCAGTGAATATATTTGGAGCATTCATGATAGGTGTTTTTCTTGTCATTTTTGGAAAAACTACAGGATGCAAAGACCAAAAAGACAACAAAGGATTAGATGGTAAGTCGTTATCAAATGAAACATTAGATTTGCCCATGATTATTGCCCAAGTATTTAACTCATTAGCTAACTCATCAATTTGATCCATAGTATATGGAGTAATAATTTTATTGGGAGAAATCCCAAACAATAACAATAAATAATAAAGGCAAACTTATATCAATTCTATCCAAATGCATATTTTCCATATATGTTTCAATGATTTTTAATGCCTTTCTTGCTTCAGGCGTTAACATTCGGGGTGAATTTGGATCTGATGGACCTTTTAGGATATCAAATAAAGGTCCCAACTCTCCTGTTGGTATACCTAAATAAGGCCTTATCCAATTTATGTCTCCTAATAACTTTTGAAAGTCATTAAATGATTTGAGTTGATCTACTCGTATTTGAATTTTTGGTGGACGGACCATGGTTGAGGATAATAGAACTCCTAAATAATTAATTGGAAAATTTAATTGTACTTTATCTATTGCTATCTCTAGATTATAATTTTTTAATAATTTTGTAAGTGTGGCATAACATTCTAGCAATGTGTTTTTATTTTTGTGTGCTAATAATACATCATCCATATAGTGAAATATTTGTAGTTCAGGATTTTGATTTCTAAGTGGCTGGATTACTTTGTTAACATAAATTTGACACATAGTTGGGCTGTTAGCCATCCCTTGAGGGAGTACTTTCCATTCATATCTCTGATCAGGACCTTCATGATTCAGTGCAGGGATAGTAAATGCAAAACGTGGACTATCCTCAGGATGAATTGGAATTGAAAAAAAAACAATCTTTAATATCTATAACTAAAACATACCAGGTTTTTGGCAAAGCAGACAACTGAGGAATCCCTGATTGAGCAGGTCCCATAATAACCATCTCATTATTAATGGCTCTTAAATCTTGCAATAATCTCCATTTACCAGATTTCTTTTTGATGACAAAAATGGGAGTATTATGGGGAGATACAGAAGGTTGTATATGTCCTTCTGCTAATTGTTGTTTGACCAGGTCATGGGCTGCTTGTATCTTTTCTTTAGTCAGGGGCCACTGAGGAACCCATACTGGTCTTTCTGATTTCCAAGTAATTTTTATTGTCTCAGTGGCCCTTTCTGAAAATCCAACCCATGTCTGTCTGTTCCTTGATCTATTTGTATTGGTGCTGCTATACCTTGTTCTTGTTTTTCTAATCTTTTTCCTTTCCTAAAACCTTGTCTAGTCATAATAGTGGGTGCATTTTGGTTGATGTTATTTGTTAATGTCAAACCTAATTGATCTAGGACATCTCGTCCCCATAAATTTACGGGAAGATGATCCAATACATATGGCTGTATAGTTCCTTCACATCCTTCAGGATCCTTCCAATCTAATACCATTGCACTTCTATGGGGATTAGTCGCCACTCCTAGGCCTCGAAGCGTTTGAGTGGCTTGTTGTAATGGCCAATGTTTTGGCCATTCTTGACGAGAGATGATGCTAAGGTCTGCACCTGTATCCAGTAGCCCATTAAATTCATGTCCTTGAATATTTAGTTTTAGCATGGGGCGAGAATCTAAATTTAAAGAAAGCATAGCCCAATGTACACCTGTGGAGCCTAATCCCTTGGAACCTCTTTCTACAGTACGACTGGAAAATTTATCATGTAGGCTGGGTATTATTAGTAACTGTGCTATTCTATCTCCTGGTGAAATTACTGATATACCCTTTGGAGAACTGGCTATAATTTTTATTTCACCTTCATAATCGGGATCAATTACCCCAGGACTTATCATAAGTCCTTTTAGAGTAGAAGAGCTGCGTCCCAATAATAAGCCTACTGTTCCTTTGGGAAGAGGTCCTTTCACCCCTGTGGGAATGATTTGAACTCCCATCTCTGGAGTTAGTACTGCTCTGGCGGAGGCGCAGATGTCCAACCCTGCGCTCCCTCTGGTTTGTCTGATGAGGGATCTGATGGACAATGTGTCCTGGGCACTACCCTGATGGGGTTGCTGGGTTCCTCCAGTGCTCCGTATATTTGTGGTTTGGGGCCCCGGAGCATTGGGCCCCCCTGTCCATTTTTTGGCAATGGAGCCCAATGCCTTTCTCCACGATATCGTGGATAAACACCTGGTCCTTGTTCGTTTTTTGATAATGGAGTACCCTCTATGGTGGTTTGAGAACGGCATTCATTAGCCCAATGTCTCCCTCTACGGTATCGTGGGCAAATACCTGGTATTCTACTCCTTTGATACCTAGTTTTGTTAAACCCTCCTCCAATGGGGCAATTCCTTTTAAAATGTCCTGTTTGTTCACAATTGTAGCATGTTCTTGGCCTGGCATCTAAAGCCTGTTTTACTGCAGCTGCCACAATTTGCCCTTGTTCATTAATGTCTCT